CGTAAAAATACTATAAATCATGATAATTGACAATATAAAATATGTTTTGAAAAAAATACAAAAAATTCCACTGATTCTTGAAGTGAATCTATCGTAAAAATACTATAAATCATGATAATTGACAACATAAAATATTTCAAAAATGTTGTATGTGAGTAGTCTTATTATGCCTTAAATAGCGTTAAAGAAAGTACAGGTTTGTGATAAAAAAAACTTATTCATTTATCCACGCAAACAATCGCTTCAAAAATTCGATTATTAGCACCAAAACATACAATTTATATTATAGCATGGGCCACATTATCTAGTATTATAGAACTACGAACAATTGCGATTAAAAAAATGTCTGATTATCTTAAATATATAATATGTAATATCTAAAATGATAGTAATACTCAAGTATACAAAAAAAATTTAATTTGTTATTGCAAGAAGTACGGCTGATTAAATAAAACAATACAAATATTTAAAATTTTAAAATAAGAGTATAGTCATCAAAAATAGATGTACAGTTCAACTACAAATTTGATATACAATTTCTTCGAATTAAATTTTATATTTAATATATAAAAAATCTATTTAATATGTATAAAATATTAATTTATAACTTTATAAGTTATAACTCATAATTAACATTTTGAATCATAAATTTCATATTTTAAATCTATTTATAAAATTTACACAAATTAAATAATATAAATGCTATATGATAATCCCTCTGTCCCTATTTACTTGTTCACATTTTCTTTTTTAGTTGTTTCTAATTACTTGTCAATTTTGATAAATCAAGAAAGGATAAAAAAATTTTACCCATTATACCTTCAATTAATTACTTTGAAAATGGTAAAATTAGTTTTTAATTCATCCACTTCATAATTAATAGGGATAAAATGGTAAACACACTATATCAATTATTATTTTATTAATATGTGTGCCAATTCAAAAGTGGATAAGTAATTAGGGACAATGGAATACTAATAACAAATTTGCAATAGAATAAACTCTTCTTATAAAGGAAAAAATGAAAGTTGACAAAAATAATATATTTTGTATAAATTACTAGTTTCTTTTTTCGCTTATCGACTACGCGTGTATTAACTAGTTCGGTAACTATGAAAGAGCATTTTAAAGCTCAACAATCAGCACCATCTTTATGCGGAACTTGTGCGTTACCGGCGAGCAGTCCACCGAATTGCTGCTCTCAACCGTCCCGACGACTGATGTCTGATGAAAACCCTAAATTCTCAAAGTAATATTACTTTTCTTCTGCCCTTCGGAGTGGCCCAGTGGTTTGGGCTTGGGACTTCCATGTTGGAGGTCTCAAGTTCGAAATCCCTTGCCAGCGAAAGCAAGGGGTTTGCCTTCTGGGTCGAGCTCGTCGCACCAGACTTGCCTAGTGCGGATTACCTCTCCTATGTGGTTTGCGAGCTATTGCGCACCCAAAGAATAGCGACTACGAATTTCCCTTGTTATAAAAATAAAATATTACTTTTCTTCCCATTATCTTGGTATTCTTCCATTCATTAAGAAAAAGAACGAAGGAAAATCTGAGAACTCGATATTGGAATTCTTGCATGTTGAACTTGTTGGAATTCCGGTGATGATGTCCGATCAAAACCCTAAACCCTAAATCCTGATCTATCTATTGGTATTTTACTGTTCTTCCCATTATCTAGATATTAAGGTAAAATTCAAGAACTCGATTTTGCATCTTGAAATTCAAGAACTCGATAATTACATATTGAATTTTTTAACAATTCAAAGAAAATCCGAGAACTGGATATTGGAATTCTTGGATGCTGAATTTGTTGGAATTCCGGTGATGAATCTATTGGTATTCTTGAGAAGACTCGATTTTGCATGTTGGAATTCAAGGACACTTGTGGTGTTTTTCAAGAAAATTAAAGAAGTTATTTAAAAAAAAGTTAAGTTATGTTGTCATCCTGGTAGTGTATATTAAGTATGTTAAAGAATTTGTTTCCCCTATTTTCCCCGACTTGACTGAAATTGTTAAGTCCAGGCATGCAAATTGCTGTTAACGAGTATGCTAAATCCATTCTTGGGTTGCAAGATGTGAACAGTACAGAGTTTGATCCCAACACTCACAATCCTTGTGTAATTTTTATGCCGAAAGTTAAGTTCTGATACTTACCTTTCATCATGAATTTCCTTGTTTGTCAATTAAAACATGTCACTTGTTCATTTTTGTTTCATGTTAGATGTTCAATGAACTTGCCAGAAATGATGTGCATCATTTAACTCCCTTTGTTTTCACCATTGACACTGACTCTGTTAATCTATTTTGATGTGTTTTTCAAGAATCTCTTGTGGTGACAAGTTGGTTCTTAATGGTACTTGTAGGATTGGCGCCCCATCCTTCTCTTTGATGAGGACACTGTTGCGAATCATTTTGTAAAGGGTTGGTTAGTAGAAGAGAGAGTTACTTATGCATCAGATAGTGCAAAGAATTTCAGCGTTATGCTATCGTGTAATTTATTACTTTCTTTCTCTTAAGCTACTTTTGAAAAACCTAGATAGAATAATGTTTAACCTACAGAGGATGATTTCCTGTTAAACATGAAGTTGTTATCACGTATAATTATTGAAACATGGAATATAATCTCTTGGTCCCTGCCATAAATCATTTGGAAAAAGAGGACTGCAAAGTTTGATCTCAATTTTATGTTATTTCTAGGGAGGATATGGCCATAATAGGGAGACTTGGTCCATGGGATGTTTATGGTTCAGATCCTTCTGAATTCTATTATGATGGAGATGATTTGACACATGCATTCTCATGGTGAAGAGATTCTTAAGAATTATTTGATACCAAAAGCTATGCTCTCCTCTAGGGTGGATGGGGACTCACATATATAGATTGATGCTGGAAATCGAGGTAAAACAGATGAGCTTATATGGAAGAAGAAGAAGAGTAGAAGAAGTCATTCAGCTCTTCCATTTTACCAAGGCAAAAAGAAGTTCTTTGCCACGAGTGAGTCTTTAAGAAAGGCAGCAGAAAATAAAAATATTAAGATTGTTCATGATGTGCCACTCATGCCGGGTAATTTGTCCTTGAGTGCTTGTTTGTGTTAATATTGAACGATAATAGAAAATGTGTGCAACTAATTAATGTCATTTTCCATCGTGCAGAAACTAGAGCTGTAAGGAGACTGCATCATTCTGTAGAAGCTATCTACTTGGAGCTTCACGGCAGTCATCCCATCAATGTGATCAATCTTCCACCCTAAGTTAAGGTGACAGTGTATTCTCTGATGAAAGGAAATGTTATCAAACTTCTTGGGAGGATTAGATCTCTTTCTGATATTATCTCAATCAAAAATGTAAGTAATTTACATCAGCTGATGTTTCTCTCTTTAGGTCAAGTGTGAAACTGAAACTTGTTGATATTTGGAATAGCAAATTACAAGCTCTAGGGGAGTGCACAAGCGCGCACACGATGGGGAGTCAAAAGAAAGTAAACTATTTCTGCCATTTGTTCCTGACGTGAATAAGAACTGAATTTTTCTACTGCATGTTTCAGTTAATTAGCTTCATTTCTTTCACCCACTTTTCAAGATTATCTTAGAATATTCTTATTAATCCTGAAAGCATTAGAGATTATAATGTCTTTTTCTAAGTCTCCTAGGCCACAAAGTCTCTTTCAAACTCTATCTTGCTTATGTTCTGATCTTGTAATAGAATTGTCATGCCTGACATTTTTTATTCAAATTTTCAGAATTTGCACCAACAAAAACTGAAAGTTTCTTACTGAAGGAAAGGAGTGATATAGGGTGCTTTGTCTTTTGCTTCATCACTTTGTGGCTGTCTGGAGGAGTTTATCCTTGTGTAGATACTTGGGCCCATGTTGAAATAAATGTGCGCCCCTTTTTACATAGTCAAGGATTACGATCTTTTGTTTGATTCTAGCATTTATCTTCATTGAACATTATACTCATTGTCATGTTCTGCAGCATGCTGCAGATGAGTGTATTCGTTTGGAAGAACTGCTGGGAAGGTAATGATTGTCTAAAAACACATTGAAGTGTCATTTCAACTTGGAGTCCATAACGTATTGAATTATCAGGTCTTTCTGGAAAAATCAGGACAACAACCTATCTTGATTCTGAGCAAGAATTGGTATCTTTATTTTGATAAGAGGTTTCATTGGTTTTGAGTCTTTGACAATGCTTTTACAGGTCATTCCTGAAATTGGTTACCAATTATTACACAACTATGAGGACCAAATTCAAAACTGAGGTTGGATCTGCAACATTCATTCTCAATCTTCAAGATCATTTACCAGGTAAGTTATATCTTTGTTTAGATTTTCATCACACAATCAGTCTATGGAACTTGATAAAAATGCCATTTACCAAAATTTCCATTGCACTAAATTTTGCAATCTTCATTAAAGTTAAACCTAACTCCTGAGCATGAAGTTATATGATTTGGATAAAGCAGAAACTTAAATCTGATTCACAAGCAGCCAACATCTGTCATACTTCTTGCGGTAACATTCTCTAATACTTGTTTCTGTCATATAATACATTCAAAAAGTAAAGTACATGCAAACCATATTTGCAAATTAGTCTGAGAAGGGAAAGGTATTCTTGTACTGATTGTAGTTGTTAATACAGAAGTAGTTACTCACCTAGATTCTCATACCTTTTACTACAGTTTATAGATTATTCTCTTCAACATTTATATTCCTCCTTGTGGTGGATGTATGCATGTCTAAATGTGGAAAACAAAGCATGACAAGCACTTCTTCTGAATAGCACAGTTTATATCAGTTCTGTGCTCCATCTTGTTGAAAGCAAGAAAGATTTTGAAGGTTTAAGGCTTTCATGTGTCATTTGTGCGCATTGTCTCTTCAAGGTCCATTTTATGTTTTTGTCAACTGTAAATCCATAGCCACCTTCTGGGAAGGGTTCTATTTCTTTTAAGCCTCCCACTGGACAAGAGAACTAGTTACATTAAAAAATGTTGAATCAACCTATAACTTCTATGAGCTTTCTTGCTATTCCATTTTATGTTTAATTGTAGCAAGTGAATTATGAATTGTAACTTAAAAGTAAATTGTGAATTGTAACTTGTAAGGGAAGAGTTTTTTAATTCTAATACCATCAGTAACTAGACAATGCTAGAGGTTCTTTCTTTTTGAATTATAAGGCCTTGAAGCTTGAATAGCTTCCAACATAATTTGGAAAACTATTCATGACATCATTCATGTTTTAGGAAATACTCCACTAGCTAACTAGATTCTTTTGCACTTGTTTCATAAGAAAATGATTATTTTCTAGATAATAATATAGGTTTCGTGTATTTTGGGCAATAATCTAAGTGTTGTGGGTATGTTAGAATTTATTCAACAGGTTAGTCCATCGACTCTAACTAGCTCTCTTATTTTACTCCTCCATTTAATTCTAATCTTGCTTAAGTTCTTGCTTAAATGTCGTGTCATGGATTATCAATATAGTTAAATTCTCTCTTCCATGTCCTTCCCTCCCACGAAAAATAGGAAAAGGGAACATATTGTACAGTTTCCATGTAAAGGCAGAGTAACAAACTGTTTATAGAATTTGAGCTAAATGAAAGAAAAAAGGTAACGCAACAGAAACAAAATCCTAAATAACCTTGGGAAACATGTTGTCCTCTATAAATACAGAAAGCCTCTTTAGAGCTTTGCATTACAAACCAAATTACTCTGCTACTATGTAGACCATCTTCCCTTTTCCATTACTCATTCCTGCTTCTCAATGGCTTCCCTTAGCAGTTGTTATTGTTTGTTGCTTTTCTTATTACTTTGTACCCGTCTTCTTTCTTTCTCTCTTGCTAAAGAAACTGTACACATTGGTCCCTTTAATTCCATGTACAATTTTGGAGATAATGGTCATTCCTCTTCATCAGCCCCTATCATATTGCTGCAACCATCAATTTGACTTCTCCCAACCATTCACCCAATGAGGCATCTTGTTTTAATTTTGCGCAACCCTTGGAGCAACCTACTGTCATGGAACCCTATTTCTTCCTCAAGAATGGCATCCCACCGCCTCCCCAGTCTCATGATCTAACACAGATTATCACATTCATGAAGTTCTTCTATAAATACTGCTCCTTTCTATAGGACTGCGCCAAAAACAAATTTCTTCAGAAAGCCCTCATCTTTATGGATCAGCCCAGCATCAACGACTAAAAGCATGCCTTCTTACATGGAAAATCTATTTTTGAGGCATCCCATCTCGTGCCTGAGACCGTTAAGAATTCAATTGGAAAAACTCATCAAAGAAGCTGGAGCTGAAACTGCTAATGTTTCTGGAATTCTACCCATCGGCTGTTTTCTGGGTTATCGGACTGAGGGCGATTCAATTGGAAAATGCAGATGCCACGAGGGATTGAATATGTACTCGAAGCTTCACAATGAGCACCTTTGGCAAGCAATTCGGGAGCTGCGTTTGAAATACCCTGATGTTCACATCATATACGCAGATTACTAAAAAGCGTTCACAGCTGTTCTTAAAAACCACACCTTCTAGACAAAGAATTTGATGAAGGCATGTTGTGGTAGGGGCGATGGTCCGTTGAACTTTGGATTTCGACCGACCCCTGATACTTTGGAGAACCTGATTGACACTCTTGAGCCAAAAAGTATTCATATTTCCAGAATTCAAGTTTGGAGAAGAAACAACAGCACAGCAGTAGAAAGGCATCATTCCAGGTTTCGTGAAGGAGTTAAAGAAATGTCTTGTATTGTTAGGCATTTACTCTTCGTCTAAGACGGCTTTATTCCCACAAGATATCTTAATCCAAAGGGTGGAATGATACGTTGGGATGGAGAAGAAATTGGTCATTTTTACGGTAATTAAATTGACCAAATAGTCATTTGATGCATTTGCCAAGTAATGGCAAGTTGTATAGGCAAACGTCATTTCCCAAGTGCTTTCCAAATATATTTGGGGCCAAACGGGTCCTTAGAATTACAATTTTTTTGTGGTCTTGAAGACTGTACGACTCGTTTGGTCATAGATTTCCTAAGTAAAAATTGGCAAATAGTGTTTGTCCATACAATTGATCATTATTTGGGAGCTATTACAAATTCAAATTCTACACCAACCTTTTATCTTTACCAGAACACCATCTATAGTAGTTTGCCATGTATTACATTATTTTTTACATGAACAATAAAACAGTGATGAAATATAAAAGTGATGATATGATTGTTGATGAAAATAATGAACAGTCGAATTAGGGTAACAAAGCCATGTGCTTTGTTTACTTCACTATATATGGAATGTTTCTTATTGCACTCACTCTAACTGTCATATTGATCCAATGTCATGGACACTACTTGTTATTGAACTATCATATTGATCCAATGTCATGGACACTATTTGGTAAAAATTTCACCATAGAAAATATTTGCCAAAAATATGGCTGAATGCTAGCTAACATTTGCCTTTTTATTGGAACTTGTTTTATAATTACTAAATCCAGCGCCAATTTTAATTAGATACAATGCAAGTCTTACAACAAAGTTACATTGTTCAAACACACACGAAACAAAAAGTAGCTAGTTTAAATTCAAATTATTGGAAAGACAGTTTTAGTGATGTCCTTTTTATTTTTATATGTGATGAGGCGCAGTTAAATTTTTTTACATGAATGAATTATAATGGCTTTTAAAACATACATCTTTTTGAGTGAAGCCCTAAAACGACACATTGAAAGCACAGATCTCACAAAAGTTTTAAAGAATAAGCGTTTTTGGAATTCGTGACATATTACCACGCAATTGAAGCGCAAATCTTTATCTAGACGAAATTTTCTTCATGTGGTAAGACTCAAAAATCAAAAATAAAAAAGGAACTATAAAATCGAACGTTCAAATTTCTTTTCTTTTCTTTTTAAAATGAAAACTTGGTTATATAAACAAGGTATAAACTAAATTAATCAGAATCAGATTTAAAACCTCATAAATAACCAAAAACCAAAACTAAAAGCAAAGAAGTAGCAGATAGGATTTCCTCTCAGACAAATGCCTCGATTGTCTTCATTATTTTAAAAGAATGGATTATCAGACTCGTCATCTGTTTGTTCATCATTGAGGAACTACTACTTCAACATTCACAAAAAAAGAAAAGATAAAAAAAACTGAAATTCAAAAATATAATCACATCCCTAATGTGCTATGTGTGAGAACAGACAGGTAGAGTAGGTAAAAGGAAGATTGAAGCTGTTCTGCTTATAGGCATTGGTAGGTTTAGGGTTTAACATTAGGGTGATTGGCTTCAGGCCCAATCTATTCTTGACCGACTTACCACTACTGGGCTTTTTTGTTGTCTTGGCCCAGTTTAACAACTTATAGCTTAGACATTGTCCCAAACGGAATGCACAAATACTCGTTTTTAGGGCCTCTTTTCAATTTATAATCGATTTAAAAAAAATATACTGATCAATTTTACTTATCTTGGGCACAACTTCAGACGTACACATTCGAAGTTGAAATATGTGTGTAACTATGGATATCTTTGTCTGAAGTATGATCTTTGTTTGATATGGTTTGTCAAGCTTTAAATGCAGTTATTGCCTTGGTAACGTCTATTTTGGACATTTTTTTAGTGAAGATATGACCTTGTTAAAAGGCAAACTTCAGATATTTTGGCATGATATCAAGGCATATTTGTCCCAACTTTAGACAACCAAAAAAACAATTGAAGAAAATTATGAGAATAATCTGAATAGTGCACACATCATTTTCCGTTTTAGGTATCTGAATTTAGATTATAGATTAACTATATCTTTGACTTGTTTGTAAATAATAATTTTGTTATTTGACCTGATTAGAAATTTATGAAAACATATGATGACGGATGGATGGTGTCGCCGAAGGAGCAGACTTGTCTGAAGCTCGTTAAATATGGTGCCTCATGAAATTTTTACTACAGTCCTTAGGAGGTGAGCAAAAATAATACTCCTCCTTTATGTGGCATGGTTCGAATGGTAATTGAATTTCATAATTTTGATAGTGAATTTCTCTGTACAAAGTCGCTAGTCCTTTAGTTTCACTGCACAAATTAGGATTCACTTTAATCTTTCTACGATCTCTATTATTCTGTTTTCCTTCTTTCATAAAGATCAAGTTAAGTGTTGGTTCTCAGTGGTGCATGATAAAATGATTGAGCTGCTTTTCGATAGGCAAACGCAAATGAGAAAGATAGTAAATTGTTTCAAAAGGAGAAGAAACACTTTATCCTTCTTTAATGAAAGGTATTCGTTCAGACACATCTTTTCAGGCCAGCAATGCTCATTTTGTTGCATTATGACATGATGGCTAATTACTGGACCACCCGATGATTGAATAGTCCAACACGAATTTCCCTCTCCGTCTAAGCTTAGCTAGCACTATGTAACAAATACTAATACTCTTTTGGTGTCCAATTAAAACTCCAAATTCCCGAGGCAAGTGACAACTCTAGTATATAAAGCTACTTTAAATTTCATCAAAATAAAAAGTAGTTCATCATCATAGTCAGATTAGTAGATACACATAGTTTCCCACCTAATTAAGAGCAATTTTAAATAAAGTGGTAAAATTCAAATTTTCAAACACGTTACATTACTGTTTTTTTGTTCTCCAACTACCGTGCTTTTCCTTAGTTATATCATTGAGATCTAAATATAGAAAACATCAACAACTTGCAAACAAAAAAAGAATCTGTTCACTAAAGAATAGTAAGTTGGAAAAAAACAAATTTCTCAATTACGGAACAACAGATATACAACTTAAAACTAAAAGTAGAGACCATTAGGTAGAAGAAAGAAGTTGATTTGTTTCTTATTTGGCTTTATTATTGATGTTGATGACGATGGCCCCGTCCTTTCTTGGCCTCCACAACCGTTGGCTCATGCGAGTCACACACTTGCGTCTTGAATTTACATCCCAACTTCTTTCTCCACCCTCCTCCTCCTCCTTCTCTGCCGCCGTTGCTGCCGTGTTTGCCTACCTTATCTATCTTCTGGATTACTTTCTTCATTGAGGAGCATTCGCGTTCCAGTTCTTGTACTCGCGTCCTCATGCTATCCATATCCAAGCGTAGCACTTGATTCTCCCTCACTGTTTTCCTCCACGTGCTACTCCCTTCCTGTGCACGTGCCATTCCAACTACTCCTGTCGTTTCCTCTTGCTCTCCACCTTCACCCTCCCCTTCCCTGCCGTCCATGATTGACAGCCGCGGGATTTCTTCTGGATTCACATCGGCGACCATAAGAGTTCCGGCAATTGCTTGCCGGAGTTGGAGTTGTTCGAAGAATAGTACCTGAACTACGGCTCTAAGTGGAAGCCGTTCATTCTGAGCTGCGTGTGTACACGCCTCTAATGTTAGCTTTTGACAATCCATTACACCGCATATTTGCTCCCTCTCCGCTTCCGATATCCATGGATGCGCCTGCATAAGGAATTTAATTAACAATGTTAAAACACAAATTATTGAACTAAACAAGTGAATTGAATTTTTAATTACGAAAATGTCATTTACCTTGAGATACACATCGACAGCTCTGTAAAGGCCATCATCAAAGAGTCTTGCTTGGTCCGGCAATGCAACAGCTAATTCGCAGAATTTTTCCGGTAATAAATTATTATCAGAAGCTATTTCTGATAAGTAACCGTCGATTAACTTTCCGACTAACATTAATGCCGTGGATCTGACACTGATGTTCTCTTCTTCGCCTTGAATTCTAACGGTAGATCTCTCTTCCAATCCGTTTAAAAAATATCCTAATATTCTTTCCACACAAGCGACATCATATAACGTTTCATTCAGATAAGAGTAGCTCGGAATGAGAAGATCGTCTAATGTGGCTTGCTCCAGTTGAGATCCGATTTTCCTCTCCAGTGAAGCTCGAGCAGCTTCCGAAGCATTTAGTATGTTCGCTGTTCTCAATAAACCGAAGAGAATCCTTGTGGTTGTTGAAGTTCTTGAGCTAGTTTCTTCAGGAAGGTTAGTAATTATAGTCTCCAAAAGCTCTCTCTGTTCGTTCTCCGATGGTATCGAAGACGAAGATGCATTCCTACTTGAGCGTGAAATTCCTGGAATGTACTTCTTCGCATAATACATTAGACAGCTCTCGATAACTTCTGAACTCAAATCTCTACTTTTCATTGCAGAAATCAAACGCTTGAACAAAGGCAAGCTCAAGTACCCTAGCTCTTCGAACCACGAATCCATACCACCTCCTCTGTTGGCACCTTTACGGCGAGTATTTGCTTCAACTCCATTTCCAGGGCCGTGATCATTCACCGGCCAGCCAAAGAGAGACGGATCAGCAGTTGAAGCTCTAACAGCAACGGCATCAATGCATCTCTGAACAATGCCGAGTGTTTCTGCTAACGGCAACATGTTCTTGCACGAGTTTAGGGTTCTAATGGAGTCCTTAATACTCTTTAGCACTGTCTGTGAAAGAAACCTCTCCGTCTTGGAAATGAGGTTATCCTCGGAGTACTCTTCAGTCATCTCCAGGTACTCACCCGCACAGCGCAGTGGAGCAACGTTCGATGCAGACAACTCGATTTTCACACCATAACAGAACTTGGCAGCCGTCTCAAATGTCTCTGAACCGCCCGGGAAATCAGGGAACGAAATACAGTATTGCTGGTCCTCCTCATTATCCTCTTCTTCTTCAATCTCCTCATCACCATCACAATCGTTGTCTCGTTCAGCCGGTTTTTGGATTTTACTGCTACTTGCATTTGTCTCTTGCTCTGTTATCATTTCATGAAGCTTTCTACTTTTTGACATCAGGGGAAACTGAAACAACCGACACAAAAATAAGTAAATAAGCAAACAAACACATATTATTATTTCAGAATCTATTCATTCAACACACAACTGACCAACCTTGTGAAGATGGAAGGTCATATCTTCAACTTCGATGATGATATCACTGGGTAATCCTGTAGTACAAAACCTGAAAAACAGTGAATCTGAGTTAACAATACGTA